GTCAGTACCCGCCAGCCAGAGTGTCAGTACCCACCAGCCAGAGTGTCAGTACCCACCACCCAGAGTGTCAGTACCCACCAGCCAGAGTGTCAGTACCCACCAGCCAGAGTGTCAGTACCCACCAGCCAGAGTGTCAGTACCCACCAGCCAGAGTGTCAGTACCCACCACCCAGAGTGTCAGTACCCACCAGCCAGAGTGTCAGTACCCACCAGCCAGAGTGTCAGTACCCGCCAGCCAGAGTGTTAGTACCCACCAGCCAGAGTGTCAGTACCCACCACCCAGAGTGTCAGTACCCACCAGCCAGAGTGTCAGTACCCACCAGCCAGAGTGTCAGTACCCACCAGCCAGAGTGTCAGTACAAACCAGCCAGAGTGTCAGTACCCACCAGCCAGAGTGTCAGTACCCACCACCCAGAGTGTCAGTACCCACCAGCCAGAGTGTCAGTACCCACCACCCAGAGTGTCAGTACCCACCACCCAGAGTGTCAGTACCCACCAGCCAGAGTGTCAGTACCCACCAGCCAGAGTGTCAGTACCCGCCAGCCAGAGTGTTAGTACCCACCAGCCAGAGTATCAGTACCCACCAGCCAGAGTGTTAGTACCCACCACCCAGAGTGTCAGTACCCGCCACCCAGAGTGTCAGTACCCACCAGCCAGAGTGTCAGTACCCACCAGCCAGAGTGTCAGTACCCACCAGCCAGAGTGTCAGTACCCACCAGCCAGAGTATCAGTACCCACCAGCCAGAGTGTTAGTACCCACCACCCAGAGTGTCAGTACCCACCACCCAGAGTGTCAGTACCCACCACCCAGAGTGTCAGTACCCACCACCCAGAGTATCAGTACCCACCACCCAGAGTATCAGTACCCACCAGCCAGAGTGTCAGTACCCGCCACCCAGAGTATCAGTACCCACCAGCACACTACCACCTACCACAGTGTACTACACCAGCACACTACCACCTACCACAGTGTACTACACCAGCACACTACCACCTACCACAGTGTACTACACCAGCACACTACCACCTACCACAGTGTACTACACCCCACAGTGTACTACACCAGCACACTACCGCCTACCACAGTGTACTACACCCCACAGTGTACTACACCAGCACACTACCGCCTACCACAGTGTACTACACCCCACAGTGTACTACACCCCACAGTGTACTACACCCCAGTGTACTACACCCCACAGTGTACTACACCCCACAGTGTACTACACCCCACAGTGTACTACACCCCCTTCCTCCCCAGCTCTGAGAAGACAACATGTGCCAGGTATTGATGACTGGTCTTTGATGATAGGTTGTGGGCCGCGGCGGCTCCCACGGCGCTACTGGCTTAAGGGCGAGTTTCAGCCCCTCCACCACCACACTCTCCACATAACCACACACGCGCCGTTCGGATCCCGATCGTCTCCCTCATTTCATGTGTTTAGGTGATTATTACGCGTGTGGGGAGGGGGGGGCGGGGGGGGTGTGGGTAGGGAGGCTGGTGTGGTAATCTGTGTATCAGGAAGCTCTTCCCTCCTCCCCCCCCCCCCCCCGCCCCAGTAAGGAGATACGGCCCTAATTTGTTAATTATTGTTTAAGTGGTTACACTGTTTAGACCTTAACTGGCCTCCTGAGTCTTCCCCGGGGAGGTAATTCCTGACTTGTTATCCTCCTCCATCATCACTTGTTATCCTGCTCCACCACCATCAGTTATCCTGCTCCACCACCGCTTGTTATCCTGCTCCACCATCGCTTGTTATCCTGCTCCACCACCATCAGTTATCCTGCTCCACCATCGCTTGTTATCCTGCTCCACAACCACTTGTTATCCTGCTCCACCATCGCTTGTTATCCTGCTCCACCACCAGTTGTTATCTTGCTCCACCACCAGTTGTTATCCTGCTCCACCATCAGTTGTTATCCTGCTCCACCACCAGTTATCTTGCTCCACCACCAGTTGTTATCTTGCTCCACCACCAGTTGTTATCCTGCTCCACCACCAGTTGTTATCCTGCTCCACCACCAGTTGTTATCCTGCTCCACCACCAGTTGTTATCCTGCTCCACCACCAGTTGTTATCCTGCTCCACCACCAGTTGTTATCTTGCTCCACCACCAGTTGTTATCCTGCTCCACCACCAGTTGTTATCCTGCTCCACCACCAGTTGTTATCCTGCTCCACCACCAGTTGTTATCCTGCTCCACCACCAGTTGTTATCCTGCTCCACCACCAGTTGTTATCTTGCTCCACCATCAGTTGTTATCCTGCTCCACCACCAGTTGTTATCCTGCTCCACCACCAGTTGTTATCCTGCTCCACCATCAGTTGTTATCCTGCTCCACCACCAGTTATCTTGCTCCACCATCAGTTGTTATCTTGCTCCACCACCAGTTGTTATCCTGCTCCACCACCAGTTGTTATCCTGCTCCACCACCAGTTGTTATCCTGCTCCACCACCAGTTGTTATCCTGCTCCACCACCAGTTGTTATCCTGCTCCACCACCAGTTGTTATCTTGCTCCACCACCAGTTGTTATCCTGCTCCACCACCAGTTGTTATCCTGCTCCACCACCAGTTGTTATCCTGCTCCACCACCAGTTGTTATCTTGCTCCACCACCAGTTGTTATCCTGCTCCACCACCAGTTGTTATCCTGCTCCACCACCAGTTGTTATCCTGCTCCACCACCAGTTGTTATCCTGCTCCACCACCAGTTGTTATCCTGCTCCACCACCAGTTGTTATCCTGCTCCACCACCAGTTGTTATCCTGCTCCACCACCAGTTGTTATCCTGCTCCACCATCAGTTGTTATCCTGCTCCACCACCAGTTGTTATCCTGCTCCACCACCAGTTGTTATCCTGCTCCACCACCAGTTATCTTGCTCCACCATCAGTTGTTATCTTGCTCCACCACCAGTTGTTATCCTGCTCCACCACCAGTTATCTTGCTCCACCACCAGTTATCTTGCTCCACCACCAGTTGTTATCCTGCTCCACCATCAGTTGTTATCCTGCTCCACCACCAGTTGTTATCCTGCTCCACCACCAGTTATCTTGCTCCACCATCAGTTGTTATCTTGCTCCACCACCAGTTGTTATCCTGCTCCACCACCAGTTGTTATCCTGCTCCACCATCAGTTGTTATCCTGCTCCACCACCAGTTGTTATCCTGCTCCACCATCAGTTGTTATCCTGCTCCACCACCAGTTGTTATCCTGCTCCACCACCAGTTGTTATCCTGCTCCACCATCAGTTGTTATCCTGCTCCACCACCAGTTGTTATCCTGCTCCACCACCAGTTGTTATCCTGCTCCACCACCAGTTGTTATCCTGCTCCACCATCAGTTGTTATCCTGCTCCACCACCAGTTGTTATCCTGCTCCACCATCAGTTGTTATCCTGCTCCACCACCAGTTGTTATCCTGCTCCACCACCAGTTGTTATCCTGCTCCACCACCAGTTGTTATCCTGCTCCACCACCAGTTGTTATCCTGCTCCACCACCAGTTGTTATCCTGCTCCACCATCAGTTGTTATCCTGCTCCACCACCAGTTGTTATCCTGCTCCACCATCAGTTGTTATCCTGCTCCACCACCAGTTGTTATCCTGCTCCACCACCAGTTGTTATCCTGCTCCACCACCAGTTGTTATCCTGCTCCACCACCAGTTGTTATCCTGCTCCACCACCAGTTGTTATCCTGCTCCACCACCAGTTGTTATCCTGCTCCACCACCAGTTGTTATCCTGCTCCACCACCAGTTGTTATCCTGCTCCACCACCAGTTGTTATCCTGCTCCACCATCAGTTGTTATCCTGCTCCACCACCAGTTATCTTGCTCCACCACCAGTTGTTATCTTGCTCCACCACCAGTTGTTATCCTGATCCACCACCAGTTGTTATCCTGCTCCACCACCAGTTGTTATCCTGCTCATCACTCGTTACACTAGTTAGTATGACCCAATATGGACTCCTGCCCATTATTAGGGAGGTACTCCCTGACTAGTAAGGTGAGGTGTGGTACAGTACACACCAGGTGTGTCATAGTTGGTGTGGTACAGTACACACCAGGTGTGTCATAGTTGGTGTGGTACAGTACACACCAGGTGTGTCATAGTTGGTGTGGTACAGTACACACCAGGTGTGTCATAGTTGGTGTGGTACAGTACACACAGTACACACCAGGTGTGTCATAGTTGGTGTGGTACAGTACACACCAGGTGTGTCATAGTTGGTGTGGTACAGTACACACCAGGTGTGTCATAGTTGGTGTGGTACAGTACACACCAGGTGTGTCATAGTTGGTGTGGTACAGTACACACAGTACACACCAGGTGTGTCATAGTTGGTGTGGTACAGTACACACCAGGTGTGTCATAGTTGGTGTGGTACAGTACACACCAGGTGTGTCATAGTTGGTGTGGTACAGTACACACCAGGGGTGTCACCCCTGGTGTGAGTAACGACAAGCGTGTGAGGGCAGGTACTCACCTAGTTGTGCTTGCGGGGGTTGAGCTTTGGCTCTTTGGTCCCGCCTCTCAACTGTCAATCAACTGGTGTACAGGTTCCTGAGCCTACTGGGCTCTATCATATCTACACTTGAAACTGTGTATGGAGTCAGCCTCCACCACATCACTGCCTAATGCATTCCATCTGTTAACTACTCTGACACTGAAAAAGTTCTTTCTAACGTCCCTGTGGCTCATGTGGGTACTAAGTCTCCACCTGTGTCCCCTTGTTCGTGTACCACCCCTGTTAAACGGTTTATCTGTATCTACCCTGTCAATTCCCCTGAGAATTTTGTAGGTAGTGATCATATCTCCCCTTACTCTTCCGTCTTGCTGCGTCGTGAGGCACATCTCACGGTGTGTGATGACAGGGGTGTGTGAGGGCAGGTGTGTGATGACAGGGGTGTGTGATGGCAGGTGTGTGAGGGCAGGTGTGTGAGGGCAGGTGTGTGATGACAGGTGTGTGATGACAGGTGTGTGTTTGTCTCCAACAGTGGCCCGCCGGCGTCGCCGAGACAACCGCCAGCGGCGCCAGAGGACGACCTTCACCTCCGAGCAGACCCTCAGACTCGAGATGGAGTACCACCGCAACGAGTACATCTCCAGGTGGGTGGTGGACCAGGTGGGTGGTGGACCAGGTGGGTGGTGGACTAGGTGGGTGTGTGTATTGGGGTGTGGTTGGTGTATTGGGGCGTGGTTGGTGTGTTGGTGGTGGGTGTGTATTGGGGTGTGGTGGGTGTGTTGGTGGGTGGTGATGGGGGGTGATGATAATGATGGTCTTGGTGGGTGGGGGTGGGTGGTTGTGGTGGTATGTGTAGTGGTGTTGGGTAGGTATGGTGGTGGAGTGAGTGTTGTGGTGGTGGTGGTAGTGATAGTAATGGTTGTGATGGTAGTGGGTGGGTTCGTATTGATGGTTGTTGTGGATGAGTGGGTGGTGGTGTGGGTGCTGGTGAGTGGGTGGAGGTGAGGGTGTGTAGGTGAGGGGTGTGTAGTGGGTGTATGTGGGCGTCTAGGTGGGGACTGACGCTCTCTGTCACATATCCAATATTCTCAACTTCCCATCCCCTCTCGTACTAACTATCCCATCACTCCTTCAGTACTCATCTCCACCTCATGCTGCAGTACTCACCCTTGCATCAACATTCAATATTCATGTTCACATTTCTCATTAACCCGCCACTTTTCTGGTACTCATTATCCCAAAGTCAAGCTTCAGTTCAGTTCTCTTCACAAGAGCTTCACTCTATTCAGTTCAAAAATATCTCTGTAGTACTCACCAAGCCTAGGTACACCTCTCTTGGCATTACTCATTAAAAATGTCAAAAATCGTTTCAGAAATCATCAGTCCATTACTCACTACAGTGCTCGCCATGCAATTTTCGTTCTAGTGTCTCATCCCATTGTAGCTTCACCAACATATAACAGTACTAATAATTATATGAATAATTAATTATTAATTGAATTATTAGTATTGTCACATGTTGACAAATGCCGGAATGGGATGAGACACTAGAACGGAAAATAATGTAATTATCTTTTCATGATTAATACCATTACTCATCGAATGATCATGTTGATCCAGGCCGCGGAGGTTCGAGCTGGCAGAGTCGCTGGAACTGACAGAGACGCAGATCAAAATATGGTTCCAGAACCGGCGAGCCAAGGACAAGAGGATAGAGAAGGCTCACATGGACCAGCAGTACAGGTGAGGCTCCCTCCACACACCTCACTCTACACACAACAATAATAACTAAAGCAAGCAACAATATAATCAAGCTATAATAAGTCACAAGCCTGAGCCACTATGCAGCAAGTGTGTGGGGGGTAAGATGGCCCGGGTGCCCGCTCCCCGTAGTTACACCGTGTACATGTTATATTACCGACACATTTGTAAAAGTAAAATACCTGACAGAGGTGTTGTGGTGATGGGCGGCAGAAGGTGGGATTATAGTCATCACCTGGTTCTTGAGAAGCGGGTTAAGCCATGAGGGCCAATGTTTACACCAGTGGGCGGCTGCATGGCGGCGGCCACCAAGGCATGAAACGCACCAGCTAGAAAACTGGCAGCCTCGTCTCCTCTTATATGACGTTCACAGCCTAACAATTTATTTAAATTAAATGTGTATTTAAAATCATTAAATAGCATAATAATCTTAGCACAATATTTTAGTTTTGCAATATCTAACATCACTCAAACAACGTCTTTAAATCATAGTAATTTTAAACGAATGGAGATATATATAAAATATCAGCGTTGTACACACTGGCTGCCTTCAACCTTCAACCCTTACTACTTAAAAAAAAAAAAAAAAAAAAAAAAAAATATATATATATATATATATATATATATATATATATATATATATATATATATATATATATATATATATATATATATATATATATATATATATATATATATATATATATATATATATATATATATATATATATATATGGAGCTTCCTTTTGGAAATCTAATACGATTGACAATACGAATATCTTGTTACTTCTTAATTAAAATCCACAACGTTTGTAATACTCATTAGTATTCATCATCAGATCTAAAACATATCAAAACTGAATTAGGATTAACATAACTTATTCTGAACACATTACATTAACAAGATAACACAGTCGGACAGCACAAACATATCAAGGAAAGGATATTGATTGCAGAGATGACTAACAAAATGTAGGCTATTGTTTTTTAAAACAAAAAACATTGTATTTAATTTATAAAGAAATTAAAAAATTACAGATTTTTATAACACTGTTTTCGTTTTATTCTGTATTTCGAAATACATAAGCAAAACCAATCAGATGGTGACTGGTAACTGCTGGAGGTTTGGGCGGGACGGACGCGCCATATTGTGCCACGGTAACCTTGAATAGTACGTCGCATATTGACGTATTAATCCCATAAGGCCAAAAAAGTATGTACTAAAAATCATAGCGATTCACAAAATTGACGCGATGTTTCGTTTTCTATTTGTGGGTCCTCGGTTAGGATAGGTTCGGGAAATTTAGTTCATAATTTTAGTGACGATGTGAGTGTTCGATGGGGACAGTCTGATAAAGGACGGCTTGCCAACGGATTCTAAAACTTACCTAACCTAACTTAACATAGCCTAACCTATGTTAACACAACTTAACCTCAGTTAACATAGCCTAAACTTAGCTAACACAGCGTAGCCTAACGTAATGTACGAGTTTGACAGAAAACGAACTTTGTCGAAACGTCAGTGTACGATTTGTTCGTTCCCCGGAAGGCCACCTGTCGTAGGGCTGCTGTCTACTCTCCTTCCTTCCGTCTCCCCGTCACTTGTGCTCCTCTCATCCCCTCCCTCGGCCCCAGGAAGCTGCTAGTTCCGGTCGTCTGCACGGAAGACCGAGGTCCAGTTTCACTTACTAATTACCTTATTTGTCTACACGAGGACCACCTGACGGGCGCCTCCGCCACCACACCACCATGGTCCACACCTGCTGCCCCGCCCGAATAACTTTGATATTTACTGCCAGATTTGCGTCTAGATTTGCCATTGAGACAGATGTGTATAGTTTCGTGGAAGCTTGTGTGAGCGGAACTCTGGATAGCCAAAAAGTGAGGTATCTGGCTCACCACAACCCCTAGAGGAGATAAGCAGTGCACAGGCCCCCTCCCGGCCCCGCCCTACAGTGATGGTGTCTCTGGCCCTTCCCACAGTGGTGGTCCGGGGCCCGCTCACTGGGTGGCCCTTGCCGCCCACACTGGGTATGAGGGCTTCAGATAAGGTCATTACACCTTCCCTTATAACTGTGCCAGTCACCTCGCACTTCCTTCATGCCTTCTAGCCAGGAATATATAAGTATTATATCACAACTGTACTGTATTAAACAACAGTTGTTGTAACTGGTAATAACCACTGACTACAACACCTGTGTACTGAGGAGACCCGAGTGTACACAGATGTACTAACATCTCACTACTGTACACATACTTTGGTACCTACACTTTTGTCAGAAGATTATAAGTATGACAAGTGTGGCAGCGTGACAAGTGTGGCAGCGTGACAAGTGTGGCAGCGTGACAAGTGTGGCGGCATGACAAGTGTGGCAGCGTGACAAGTGTGGCAGCGTGACAAGTGTGGCGGCGTGACAAGTGTGGCAGCGTGACAAGTGTGGCAGCGTGACAAGTGTGGCGGCATGACAAGTGTGGCAGCGTGACAAGTGTGGCAGCGTGACAAGTGTGGCGGCGTGACAAGTGTGGCAGCGTGACAAGTGTGGCAGCGTGACAAGTGTGGCAGCGTGACAAGTGTGGCAGCGTGACAAGTGTGGCAGCGTGACAAGTGTGGCGGCGTGACAAGTGTGGCAGCGTGACAAGTGTGGCGGCATGACAAGTGTGGCAGCGTGACAAGTGTGGCAGCGTGACAAGTGTGGCGGCGTGACAAGTGTGGCAGCGTGACAAGTGTGGCAGCGTGACAAGTGTGGCAGCGTGACAAGTGTGGCAGCGTGACAAGTGTGGCAGCGTGACAAGTGTGGCGGCGTGACAAGTGTGGCAGCGTGACAAGTGTGGCAGCGTGACAAGTGTGGCGGCGTGACAAGTGTGGCAGCGTGACAAGTGTGGCAGCATGACAAGTGTGGCAGCGTGACAAGTGTGGCAGCGTGACGCCTCATGCCGGCGTGTATAGTTGAGCGGTAGTTGACTCCTCTTACTCAACTACTAAGTAATCCAGATTGACTTTTCATAATCAGTGAGGGTGGAGCCTGGCGGGCTTCCCCCAGCACCGCCTTATGGTGCCCCCCCCCTCCACCACCACCAGCTGACACCACTGGACCGGCCAGATACACTGACACCACTGGACCGGCCAGATACACTGACACCACTGGACCGGCCAGATACACTGACACCACTGGACCGGCCAGATACACTGACACCACTGGACCGGCCAGATACACTGACACCACTGGACCGGCCAGATACACTGACACCACTGGACCGGCCAGATACACTGACACCACTGGACCGGCCAGATACACTGACACCACTGGACCGGCCAGATACACTGACACCACTGGACCGGCCAGATACACTGACACCACTGGACTGGCCAGATACACTGACACCACTGGACCGGCCAGATACACTGACACCACTGGACCGGCCAGATACACTGACACCACTGGACCGGCCAGATACACTGACACCAATGGGCCGGCCAGATACACTGACACCAATGGACCGGCCAGATACACTGACACCACTGGACCGGCCAGATACACTGACACCACTGGACCGGCCAGATACACTGACACCAATGGGCCGGCCAGATACACTGACACCAATGGACCGGCCAGATACACTGACACCAATGGGCCGGCCAGATACACTGACACCAATGGACCGGCCAGATACACTGACACAATCTTCCATTTACTAATGTGAGTCTGTTGACGTCACTACCTTCAGACATAAGGGTTTAAATTGTCCACTCACCTGGCCTCTAGGAGACTTGAACTGCGGCCCCCACGCGTGTGAGGCGCAGGCACTATGGAAGTCCCCACACACGTGGGGTCCGCGGTTCGAGTCTCCTGGAGCCCAGGTGAATGGAATGGTTATTTTCCCGGAAGTGCGGATAACGGTTTATATTTGAATTGTATTTGTGTTTACAGTTGAGCGGCCGCCTCGGGCGGGGGGAGGGAGGGTGTGGCTGAGGCCGTGGAGGGGTCGTGGCTTGGGGTCCCTGTGCTCCTACGGTGCTCTGTTATAATTACCTCTTCTTGTAGAGATGTGTGTATTCCTATGTGCCTGCAGGATCCAGCTCTTAGCTCTCGGACCCGCCTTTCTGACAGTCTGTTGTGTAATATATTGACTCCCGACCTATTTTCTTCTATCATATCTACGACATATATTTTTCTCTAACACATACACACACTGGGGATGTATGTGTGTATACTCAACAACTAGGTGAGTACACACACAGATAAAGATAAACTGTTTAACATGGGTGGTACACGCACAAGGGGACACAGGTGGAAGCTGAGTACCCAAATGAGCCACAGAGACATTACAAAGAACTTTTTCAGTGTCAGAGTAGTTAGTAAATGGAATGCATTAGGGAGTGATGTGGTGGAGGCTGACTCCATACACAGCTTCAAATGTTGATATGATAGAGCCCAGTAGGCTCAGGAATCTGTATACCTGGACGGACGGAATCTGATGGACGGTTGAGAGGCGGGACCAAAGAGCCAGAGCTCAACCCCCTGCAAGAACAACTAGGTGAGTACACACACACACACACATGCTGTGGGGGGGACATTGCAGCATGTGGACAGCGCTCTGGGTCGTAGTTCTAAGGACCCGGGGTCGATCCCCGGCAGAGGCAGAAACAAATGAACAGATTGTTTTCACCCTGGTGCACCTGCTCACCTAGCAGTAAATAGGTACCTGGAAGTTATACAGGCTGCTTCCTGGGGATATATGTGCAAGTGTAAGAGAATATATATATGTAGTAGACACAATAAAGGAAAAATATATGGGTTAGAATGGATGGTTCAAGAACTAATAGTTTAATTCTGCAGATACAAATAGTAAATACATCCCCAGGATGCTGCCCGTAGCAGGTGACTAACTCCCAGGTACCTATTTACTGGTAGGAGAACAGGTGCACCAGGGTGAAAAGCTCTGCCTATTTATGTGTCTCGGCCGGGAATCGAGCCCGAGCC